TCTCTCTCTCTCTCTCTCTCTCTCTCTCTCTCTCTCTCTCTCTCTCTCTCTCTCTCTCTCTCTCTCTCTCTCTCTCTCTCTCTCTCTCTCTCTCTCTCTCTCTCTCTCTCTCTCGTCTCTCTCTCTCTCTCTCTCTCTCTCTCTCTCTCTCTCTCTCTCTTTCTCTCTTTCTCTCTCTCTCTTTCTCTCTCTCGCTCGCTCGCTTGCGCTCTCTCCCTCTCTCTCTTGTGTGAGGTATACAGCGTAGAGTGTACACATAATCTTTCGACTCACTACCGTGACGCCACACCTAGAAATTGCGGGTATTGAGCCAGACGAACGTACATGTACCCATGCATGTATAGGCACAAAATCACATACATAGTTTAGTAGGTCATCGGGGCAGACCCTGGATTGGTAGATTTTGTCGTGAAGCGTCATTTCCAGTCATCATCAATAAGAGGTTTGTGCATGCATGTGTTGATCTCGGTAAGCCATATAGAACTATAGTCATAGCATAACTGAACTGTTGTTATTCGCATTAGAACTGCCAAACATGTTTCATGCAGATTATAAACAGAACGTATAAGAGAGACAGCGTTTCGTACGTCCTTAAAAACTGGGTATTGGACGGACGAAATGTATATTATGCGTAACCTCGTAAAATTTACTATTCTCAATTCAAGGAACAGTATATCCAACGCTACAATAACAGATAATATTCTTACGTCAGAGTAAATGATAGCGTGAATAAGTCAAGGTCAATGGCGATTTAGACCGGGCAATTCGTAGAGCTTTGTCATTATTGAGGATTATTCCCCCAGCTGATGCCAATTTTTCAGCATGAATATGGATATACTCTGCAGAGGTAATTGGTCATGCTTAAAGGCCTATTTACACGATTGCGTCCTAGACTAGACGTGCGTCTAGGACGCATCGTGTAAAGGCCCGTCTTCACACACACGGCGCGGCACGGAACGCCACGGAAACGGCGTCGTTCACTCCTACCTGCAAAGTTCAAATCTATTATCCCGGGGGGGGGGGTCACTATATATGCCGGTATTACCCAATGTGCGTTCTCACTAAAAAATAATAGGCCCCTAGTGCGAACTGAAAACCCTACCCTCTATTGCAGACACAATTGAAGAATATCACCCCCTATTGCATACACTATGAAAATATCCCACCCCCTATTGCATACACAATGAAAGAGTCCTACCCGGACCCTTACCCCCTATTGCGAGGTCTTGCAGAGAAGTGGAGGGAATGGAGGAGGCCCGTGAGGGCGGCCTACTGCGGGCGCGGTGCTTGACTTGAACGATCCCGATGGCTTATTGCGGGATTAGCTTTGTAAAGGGGGGCCTATTTGCTTCCGCTCGGGCCCGCTTTAGAAGTTGAAAAACACCCCCCTAACCCGCAAAATTGGAACGCACATGGGGTAATACCGGCATATATAGTGACCCCCCCCCGGGTCTATTATATCTTATGGCGCAGTCTCCACTGACACGGCACGGCGCCAGCCGGGTTTCACGGCGACGGCGAAAGTCAAATGAGTTTGACTTTTGCCGGCTGACGTGACGGCGAAAAGACAATTGAACCAATCAACGCGATTGTTTTTTATCACGTGTTCTGCTCACGCTACCATCAGCCAATGGACAACAAGCACATACATAATTTCTGGGGCCGGTTTCACGAAGCGTACTTAAGTATTTAATCATGATTAAATCACTAATCATGATTAACTTCTCGTACTTAAGTTGAAGTGACTGTTTCACGAAGCGTAATTAAAGTTAATCATGATCAAGTTAATCACAATATTTAATTCTACTCAGGAGCATGATTAAATCCACTAATCATAATTAGTTGCTAGTACTAGAACTTAGAAGTAGGTAGTACTAGTATATTAGGTACGCTGCAGATTTTCCAATTGGAAATTTTACTTCAATTTTTTCCCAAGGAAATTTAAATTATCTAAGATTTGCTGTACTACTTCAATCATTATAGTTACAAATTAATTCCTCTTCATGTACCGAACTTGAAGATATTTTTGGCGTATTGGTCCGCCATATTGAATACCGTGCAATTTGTTTTAGACTGGTACTCGCTCCCACCTCGATTACTCGATTCCCATCAAGTAACTAAGCCGAGAGGGGAGCGAGTACCAGTCTATTCATGTTGAAGTCGGCTAATTATGTGATTAGTTAAATATGTACTTAAATCGCTTCGTGAAACAGATTTTTGAGTATGATTAACTAATCATAATTACGGGAAGTTAAGTATGATTAGTGATTTAATTATACTTAAGTTAAGTACGCTTCGTGAAACCGGCCCCTGATCACTGAACCAGAGTGAACACAATGCGCTCATACACAATGCGCGAAATCACAATGTATTTTTTTTAAGCACAACGGCGCTGCGTTTTGCTGTGTCGTGCCGTGCGTGTCGTCCGTGTCGTGTGTGGAGACGGGCCTTAAATATATGAGGCGCCAAGTGTCGCATGACTGATTTTGTTACGAAATCAAGTCTACAAAGTCATTTCGTTACGAAATCAACTACTGCGAGTGATTTCGTGACGAAATCAGCTACTGCGAGTTATTTCGTTACGAAATCATGCTACACTTGGCGCGCCGGCGCGCCAAGTGTCGCATGACTTGATTTCGTAACGAAATTATTGATTTCGTAACGAAATCAAGTCTACAAAGTCATTTCGTTACGAAATCAGCTACTGCGAGTGATTTCGTGACGAAATCAGCTACTGCGAGTTATTTCGTTATGAAATCATGCTACACTTGGCGCGCCGGCGCGCCAAGTATCGCCTGACTTGATTTCGTAACGAAATCAAGTCTACAAAGTCATTTCGTTACGAAATCAACTACTGCGAGTGATTTCGTGACGAAATCAGCTACTGCGAGTGATTTCGTTACGAAATCATGCTACACTTGGCGCGCCGGCGCGCCAAGTGTCGCATGACTTGATTTCGTAACGAAATCAAGTCTACAAAGTGATTTCGTTACGAAATCAACTACTGCGAGTGATTTCGTTACGAAATCAGCTACTGCGAGTTATTTCATTACAAAATCAGCTACACTTGGCGCGCCGGCGCGCCAAGTGTCGAATGAATTGATTTCGTAACGAAATTATTGATTTCGTAACGAAATTATTGATTTCGTAACGAAATTATTGATTTCGTAACGAAA